ACCGCGTATGTGAGGCTGTATAAATTATTTTCTAGAGAGTAAAAACAGTCATATTTGAGAATGGTTGCCTTTTTTAAATAGCCATCATAAGTTCTGGATAGTATATTTCAGGAAGGATGAATTTTTGGCAAAAAATTCCAGTTATGCGGCTTTGTACTTTAAACGACGATATGTACATACGTACATACTTGTAAAAAGCACATAAGTATTTAAGGAGTAAGTTCGAAAGAAGGAACTTTTTTATACAAACTGGCAATTTTCATGTACGAATACATGTTGGGGGCATACACCTACATATGTACATATCGATCGTCCTCTGCAATAACTTAGCAACTCAAAAAAACCCTCACTATAGAAATTAGGGATCTTAATCAAACAAAACTTCATCTTAACACTCTGGCATACAACGTAAGATTATCTTTAATTACTGACATTTATTCTAGTACATATCGCTTATTTACTTCAATAGTGTCATAATCCAAAAAAATTCAAATATTGAGCTAAGTATGCAGAAATCATCGCAACCTTTAATGTTGTGTAAAAATTTCATAGCTGTATTGATTACCAGTATCTCACTAGAACCAAAATAGGTTTTCATTTTTCATTTGTGCTGGTTCACAATAAAAAGTGATCAAAAACCACAGCCAACGATATCGTATTACTCGTCACGTAAAAACACATTTTTCATACGATATGCTTGCAAGCGTTTATAGTCTACCGTATAAAAATTCATAATAGGGGGTTTATCATGAATGGGAACGATTTCGGGTGAACGAAATTTCACATAGAAATTTCGAAGTTGGGATAACTGCTGTCAAAAAGCCAAATACAATTTCAATTTTGAGATACATAGGGCGTTTTTAATCCGCATTATGAGCCCCTATCTCTTCAATCAAATTCTGAGATGGGGTGTTCTTTAACCAAATTCAAACCAATACTCAGGTGTCGATATGTAAACTCAAAACTTTAAAGCCGTTTTTGTCGAGTTTCCATTTTTTGAGTTATGACACTATTGAAGTAAATGAGCGGAATGGTAATTACATATTTACGTATGTATTTATTAAACTCATTCATGTGTTAAAAGGTAAAATTTTAGTTTAAGAGTAATCAATTTTTATTAGTGTATTATTACATTCCTCTCGGTTTAAATTGATACATTGTAAGCATTTGTTTTAATGACACACTACATTCATAAATGAATTTGGAAGTTATTCCATTTTTCCATCAGAGATACATATATGAACAATATATTCGTGTATTTCCGTTGTGATCATGTAATTGTCAATTGTTAAAAAACAATAAAATTTATCAATAATTCTCATAATCTGAAAATTTATTAAAAATTTACTGGCATCATTTTTAGGATGATGAGCGGTCTAATCATATAATCATAGATGTTAATGTATTTTTTATCTGCATATTGATAGTACATAACTGAACACTTGTAATATATTGGCGTTCACTCCATAGTTACATAATAAATATACTATTTATATCGTCACCTGAAATGCAAAAAGACGTAACAACATTGTAACTCAAATGTAAAAAGTCGTGACAAATAATTTTTCTTTTTCATAAAATGATGTGCGAGTTGTAATTCAATGATGGACATATCAATCAAAAAATGAATTTTGCATTTTTTATTAGTTGCTTCTTTTTTATTTCAGCGACGATGTTTGTTACGTCTTTTCGCAATTCAGGTGACGATATGTAGATATGTATATTAGGGTGGTAAAAAAAAGTAAAGCAAGAATTTTAGTACTCTCGCCCCTAGGATTGTTATATACACAAAAATATACCTCGCTTTTTTATTTTGAAATCAAAAAATATTCAGAGGTCGTTCAAAGCGCTAAAAGTTGTCTATGCATGTATTTTATATGGGGAAAAAATTATTTTTCGTAGAAATGATATGGAATTCTTCAAAATCAATATTTTTCGATTGGAAAACTCTGTTTCTCTTCAGGAGACTTCCAATAAATAACACCCAATTGTTTAATTAACCATTTTTAATATTATTTTATATAGGTTCCCCAAAAATGCAGATCAATGTATAAGCTAATAACTGTAAGGGTACATATCATACCTTGAAGTATTTACATACATAAATAAATTTTAAAGTAAAGACTTTTTTGGTAAAGCGAAAATTGCATTATTTAATATATGTATATATATATATATATATATATATATATATATACATGGATGAATGTATTTTCGTGGTACACCTTTAATTCAATCACATACGCTCGCTCTCAGGGTTATATAAAATATTGGTTAAATATTAATTTACTTAAATAAACTTTCAGGTGCTGCAGAACAGTGGCTTGAGTGGTCAGAAATTTTCAAATTCATGACCAAAATATAAAAGTTCGAAAATGAAGAGTAAACTCTGAATTCAGAACCTTAAGAGTTTTCATCGGTGACATATATGTACCCTTGCTGCTGCAAAATATTTAAACGCTTCTCCACTGCGTCACGATCTGAAAAAGACAAACAAAGTATTTGCGCTATTTGTATAGATAATTTAAGTTTGTTTCGCAGTTATACATTTATTCAGTAACATCTTGTCCTGTGGATGGTTGCATTTCTGTACCAACGAATGCAGCAGTATGTGCGCCGTATTATAGCGTTCAAAGCAATTTTTTGTATTACTTAGCAACTCGTCCAAGGCGGCCGCTTGACACTAGCGAATAATGAAACAGAATGAACGAAATTATTTTTTTAGATACATATCTACATATGTATATCCATATCGCAAACGTTCTCAAAAAGGGACTCAACTCAAGGACCAAAAATTATAAAGTTGGAATCAATATACACTTTTGAAAAATGTCTGCGAGATGTCTCTTTTTCCAATTATTGTGATCTAATTGCACTTGTTATTTAAAATTCACATCGTTTTTCAATTGAGTAACCGAGTATCTTTTCGTATCACCACATTAACCTTTACACAAAAAAGGAATAATAAACTGTCTACTCACCATATCCAAAGCATAGTCATAGAGGATTTTGTCAGCTGTAATGTTGAATGCATTTGCTTTTTGCAACAAACCAGAAACATTTAATTTTTTTGATTCGAATAAAATTGATCGATATTTGGAGTTCATTGTAAGCAAAGCTATATAAAAGGATTGTATATGTTATTTTTGTACATACCGTGCCTATAACACATATTAATTTTATTTTGAATCAAGTTTACCCACCATTCTTGACGTTTGATGAGGGTTTAAGATTTCCACTACGTAATTGTTGGGAAGCCAAATTCAATCCACTCGAAAGGAGATGCAAAGCACGTACCAACAACACTAGCCGCTCAGCTCGTTTACAATGTTCAGGCGCATGTGGCGGTATGGACTGCTGGTCAGAGGAGGTTGCACCCACAGCCATTAGCGCTGAAAGAGGTGCACAACGGGAATCCGCAACCTCTTGTATGCAGTCGGTAAGTGCCAAAACAAAATTCAATTTGGAAAGTGTTTCATTATGCTCGCGGTCCATGAGTGTCTCCTCCGACAGTTCAGGTGCATGGAAAGTATGAAGTTGATGCCCTTCTACGCCGGTGGCCCGACTGCTAGCTGTATCCAGCAAACTTTGCAAGCCTCCCGTAGCACCTAGCTCTGGTAATGTAAATGCACGCGGACCCAACACGTGATGCTGATTGTTATTTTCTGATCCACCAGACCCGGAACCCAGTGAACCGACCGAACCGGGACCCACAATAAGTGTGGGACTACCCAAAGTAGGCAATTTAGCTAATGTAGACGGAAGAACTGGCGAACTGTGGCCTGAACGCCGCAGAGGAGACTGTGTTTGTGTACCAGGGCTTACTTGCCAAGTACAAGGTGCACTTGGTGGTGGCGTCT